CACAACAGCATCTTATGGCTTCCATGGAGACAAGTGACAGTGCAGGATAAAAATTGTGCTGATGTTCTCATCTGGCTGCTGCAGCTGCTGTATTCACAGCTAATAATAAAACTAGTTATGTGGTTTTTGGTTTTGTGAGGTGTAAATTTGTTTGATTTCTGCACTTCCTGAAGAAGGAAAAACAAAGTCAGTCTTGAAGAGCAAATGATCATTAACTGTGTAGTAAAGGCAACAGTTGTGTTATATTGGATAAACCCATTGTGCTATTTTAATTGCAGTGGTTGTGCTGTGACATCTTCTGTGACAGCGAAAGTGAAGGCCACCAAGTACCACATGTCACATGAGGAATTAATATTTAAGACCTGCTTTTTACTATCTCTTACATGATCAAGCTGCTCTTGTGCCTTCAACTTACAGTATAGAAACACGATGTTCTATTCAGTGGATACAGATAATTAATTTTAGAAAAGGAGGCTTTTTTCAGAGGCGTTCAGGAAAACTATTCTTCACAGATCAGAATGAAGTCTGTATTTCTGAAGTAGTCCTATTCTTTCTACAGTAGGCCTATTGTGAAGAAGTTGCTTTCACAGTTCACTGATTCTATGTTTATTAACACTGCCTACTGGGGGAAAAGGGCTTGGTGCTAGCCGTTCATTACATTTCATATTTGGCTTTGCCTAACCAAAAAATGTGGACTTGCCTGTTGCTATTTGATGCATCTCCCATTCAGCTGGTGTAACTCAAACTGTATGAGAGAGACTGCTTTTTTCCTTAAAGGCTCAAACACCAGGGAAGCTATCCTGTAGCTTGTTCTCCCCTTTTTCCCCATTCCCAGTTTCTTGCTTTCTGTGTCAAGCTGTCCCTTCCCCTCCCTTCCACATGCTTGTCACTGTGTCCAGATATATAATAATGAGGTGTTTTTTTCAAGTGTGATCTTCAAGTGCATAATCAGTTCATCACAAACAGATGCAAATTACCACAGAAGAATTTTGCACATATCCTTATTTTTTGTTATGGGAATTAATGAGCAAATCCTCTTTTAGTTTAAAGATAAACAATAATGCCATATCTTGTCAGAGGTAATAGTAATTGATAATCAATACCACAGTATTTTATATATCCTGATAACCAGGTAAAATGAAATTACTTTCTGACTACCAGGTAATGCTTATATGGTACTGGCACTGACAAACTATGAAAGGAAGGAAGAAGTCGCCTGTGTGATGATGAGTTTATTATACAGATAAGATTTCCATAATAAGGGATAGTGATTATGGGGAAAGGCTGAAACTCCATTAACTGAAACAAATTACTGTGACAAAGCCAGAGGGAGTGCTTTGCCAAACTTACAACTCCTTTCATAATATGCAAATGTCTGTTGGTGCACACTAACCAGCATATGGACCTACAAGTCAGGTTTCTGGCTCCTTTGCGCCCTGCCACTGTCACAGCACAAGTTTTATATAGGAAGTGAGTCCATTTATCTGGGCATATGGAGGGTGTACTTTGCTAATGTATCAGCGAGACATCAGGCGTTTTCCCTACAGAAATAAGTTTCCCCTCTAATGCCACTGTTTCTCTATTAAGTGAATCTTAATTGTCAGAGAAATGTATGAAATATATAAGCTCTAAGGAAATGCTGCAAACTTTGAGTTTATCTGGCCACCACAACATAGCATTCTGACTAGGATTTATATTTCTTCCTTTGGCTAAAAAAGAAAGCTTATATGCTGATTTCTTTTCTGCATGTATGGTTATGTGTGCCGCACCTCTTTTGATGAGTGACTGTCATATTCTGCATGCAAAAACACAGACAAAACTATGGTGGTTCTTCTTGGATTGGTCTGTGTACGCGTGTATGTACATACACTTAATTTGAAAGGTGCTTATGGCTCTCGAACTTGTATTATTTGTGTAAAATACAGTAAAAGAAGTTGTTTAAATATAAACATTGTCATCTTTATACTAATTTTTGCTTAAGAAATGATACTGTAGTGAAGAATTTTGTACAAAAACCTGTTAAAGTTTGCAGTTACAGCTCCGGTAAGAACAGCAGGCTAGAATATAAGCTTTAATTTATGTTGTGCTTTGGACATTTTTCAGAAACTATTTACCCATTACCTCTTAGGTCAGTGGCCTAATAATGCAACAAAGCACTTTTTGAAATTGCAGATAATTTTCAGTGCTCAGATCTCTGTGTAGTATTGATGGGGAGGAAAGCTGATTAGGATCTTGGGAATTGTGCTTGATGGGAACAATCTGGAAGGAGTGAAAAATTATTAAACACACACAGCGGGAGTTGTAGGATTTACCATTGTCGTGCAGTGCTATTAATTCTCATTGCATCGTACAGCAGCTTGATTGCACACTGTGAATACTGTTTATTGGAGAACGGGTACAATTTTGCTGCAGTTGTTGTAATGTAATACTAAATGCTAATTAGGCTTCTAACAATAATTAGAACCTCTTGCTAGACTTAGAAATAGAAACACTCAATTGAATTTACAGAAACAAAGACCTTTAAGCTGTGCCAGGAACAGTATCTTTAGCAGCAGTATCAACTTGGTAAAGTTGTGAGGTTTTTTGTTTGTGTGTGTGTTTTTGGTTGTCTTTTTAATTTTATTTTTTTTTCCTTCTCCTGGTTTATATGTTTCATTTACAGGGTTGCAAACATGTATTTTTACAGTGAATATAATGAATGAGCTCATTATGCTCTCAATAAGGTTATTTTCTTAATGAAAGGGTTGAAAAAACAAGTAAATATTAGAAGGACAACTGCAGATAAATTTGACATGAAAAACTGTTGAGACAGTTGTTGAATGGCTGGTATTACTAAATATAATGCACAATTTCTTTTAACTATTTTGTAATATGAAAAAGAAATAACAAAGCCTAAATCCATCAAAAGCTACTTCTTCCCAGTCTCTCCCCACTAGACACCAATTTTTTTTCTGAATTAAAGTTCTATGTAAATATTTTCACACACGACAGTAAAGATGAGCTATAGCTCTGAATAATTTACTACTTTGCCAGATAAACTGTCTTCAAATTTTGGAGGTAAATGTAATTTTTATTTTATTTTCAGTGGGTGTTCTCTTGGAATCAGTACTATGTCAGGATGTTAACAAATGCAATTGAAAGGGAAAATGCATGGTGTACACATTTTTATCTTGTTTGCTAATTCTGTTGTTACTATAGGTCCATATTTTCACTAAAGTCAATGTACAGAACATAATGGCCTTTACCCCATGTCACTACCTAAAAAAAAAAAAAGTAAAAAAAAAAAGTAAAAAAAAAATTCAAGTCTCTTATTCCATCCAAACCGAAGTTTTATGGTGCATATGTTGAAAAGATGCTGAGTTTGGGTTCCTATTTTGAAAACCTCTTTTATATTAATGAACACAGAACCTAGGATTCTTGTTTGAAACTTGGTTTCAAAGGCTTAATGTAGACATGCTGATTTTTGTTTTAAAAACTGTCTTTTTTTCCAGCCTTCTCCAAACAAGAAAATCAGGAGCCTTCAAAAAGAACAGTGGAAATGGTTTTATCATGGAAATACTGAAAGAATCTTAAGTATAGTGCACTAGCATGCACAAGTACCCAGCCATACTGTAAGCACTTCGCTATCCAGTACAGAGGCTTTAGTTCCATTGAGAGTTTTTACCACATCTGTGGCAGTTGCTGTACTTGCTTTTGTTCATTGGTTAACATGTCATCATAATACATAACCAAAAATGGTCACAGTGCTTCCTGCTTTCATCATATTGTTGATCTTCCTTAGATTCCATTCTTGTAAGTTTGTCTAGTGCACTGATAATGGTAAGAGGCTTTTCTGTTGAGTAACCTTATGGCATACCTTGTCAGTTTGTTGTTGTTTTTTTTAAAGCAAGGTTTAACTAATAAAATTAGCTTTTAAAGAATGGAAAAAGCAGTCAAAAGCAAACCTGTTGCTTAATGTGTTTAGTGACATGCCTTCAGCATTTACACACTCCTTTTGAGTTGTTTTCACCCTGTAATTTACCCTCACCCCTAAGCCATGTACAGCATTGCCTAGTGCAAGTTAAGTTTTTGTGTTTTAAGTCCAGTCCTAACATTATTTATTGTGTGTTGCAATAAATAAATAATGGGTAGTTTGTACTTTATCATGAATTATTACAATGAATGCTTAGAGTTACGGTTATTTACCTGTACAATTCTGGCTTCAGTTCAATGTCAGGAATTCTATTCTGCAACTTACAAGAGTGTCGGTTAACAGAAATTTGAACCTTAGCAAATGAGATTTTCTTAAATGTGCCTTCTTTGTGACATCTTACTGCCATTTGAATGGCTTGTTTTTTTCTTTAAGGCTGAAACCATCATCTGGGAAAAATTTAACTTGAGCAAGACAGATTATTCTGTTTAATTTTCCATTGGCATTTTCCTTGCACAAGTCAATGTCACCTGCTAAGAGGTTTGCTGAGATACAACACCCTGCTGATTAGTAAGTTTTATTACTCTTCTCCTCAAATACTGACCGTTACCTTCCTACTATGTTATAGGTGTGTTCATACTCTGCAGGCAGTTGGGGTCAATCCAGTATGGCTGACATGTTATATGTTTTTCTTGTAGTGTGTCACATGTAGCCCACTGTACAGACTGTGACAAACTACTGCTGTATGACCTGGTAGTCTTGGGTCAGAGTGAGAGAAATTGGTGTTGTACTAAGATGTATGTTAATACATATATTATTTATATAGACATTAGTGAATGCTATTGTTGTCTCAGCACAAATCAAGGTCCAGGCCATGGCCTTGGGGCTTTCAGGGGCTCACTTTGTCATGTGTTGTGATTTTTTTATTTTCTTCTTTTTTTTTCCCCTTCTACTTATGAATAATTAAAAACTTAAATTACTTGCCATGTTCGAAATTCATATGCTGGAGAAAATAGCTACATGAAAATTAATTTTCTGTTCTGTGAGACTGACGGGAAATCAATTAATCTTGATGTATTATTTTATGCAGAACAGGGTGCGGGAACCAGCAGAGAGAATGGCTACAGCTGTTCTTGTTGGTCGGGCCATATATTATTGTTGGCGGGTTTGACAGCTTCTGAAGGAAATGGCTGAAGGGTATCAGGCAGGTGAATCAACTGTAAAAATTTATTGGAGGATACAAACTGTTTCCAGGGGACTGATATAAAACTCACACTTGAGAACTGAAGTATTGAATGTTTTTGTGACTGAAGCAGCTTGTTGTCAATATTTATAGCTTTTCTCTTTGTTACATGTCCTATTTGTTTGATTAACTAGTCAGATGTTAGTGTCTCTTTGTAATTTATTTGTTGCGCCTTCTGTAGCGTTTTTGATACATAAAGATTTACCACTAGGTAAATAGAGCAGCTCGTTCAATGCAAAATGCTAAATAAAATGACAGAGCTGTTTACAGCGTGTTACAAGTTTTATAACTCAGTAGGTAGATCAGTAACTTTTGTTTACCAGTGTCACAGTTAAGTTGAAACATGTTGCAGTGTATTAAGTGCTGTGAGGTACAGGTCTCCATTTAAATAACTGGAGATTATAATCAATATGTACCTTAGCAGTAAATCATTTGAGAGTCTATAAAGACTTTCATGTAAACCCATTGATAATGCAAACATCTCTGAAATAAAACGAAATACCTGCATGCTCTTTAGAATGAGCTTTATATTCACAGTTTCCTTTCTGATGTATCTGCATCAGTGCTTTTTATAAATTATAAAAGAGAGAAACACTAAAGTAGCCACTAACAAGCTGTGTGTTAAATGTTAGTCCCCATCTGGGTGTGTGCAGGGTCCAAGATCCTAGAGCAAATCTGAGTCTCATAAGAGCCTGTATGTTGCTATATATACAATGGTTAGAGAAAGAGGCTGAATCTCCCTGGCATCACTCGCTGGGTTGGGAGCAGCCTATTCCAAATTCTTAGTAACAGTTAAAGCTATTGCTTGATCAGAGAGTATGGGTGCAGCACTGTAGAGTATCACAGTATCACAGTATGTTAGAGATTGGAAGGGACCTCAAAAGATCATCTAGTCCAATCCCCCTGCCGGAGCAGGAACACCTAGATAAGGTTACACAGGAACGTGTCCAGGCGGGTTTTGAATGTCTCCAGAGAAGGAGACTCCACAACTCCCCTGGGCAGCCTGTTCCAGTGTTCTGTCACCATACCAGAGTATATGGACTGGGATCTCTGTACAGCTTGTAGGTGTGAGAAAGAGAGATTAGTTCCCACCTATCCCCAACAAAGCTTCCTCTCTGGTGCTCTGAAATGGCTTGTGATTGAATATCTAAACTGGTAATACAGTGAAAACCAAGGATTCCTGATGGAGAGAGGAATAAAAGATTACACTAGTTCTAAAACCTGTATATAATCATAAAGAACATGTCTTGTACAGGTTGTTTTTGGTATCTCCTTCCAAAACAAGGAGACTACAGCAAGAAATGAGAAGCTTTAAGTCATGTGAAGCTGATGCGGTGAGAGACTGGGAAAGTGAGGGAAGGTTTTTCAAGATACAGCGGTTTGTGATTATAGAATTGCCAATTATAAAAAATATCCAAGGCATTATTAAGGAGTTTTGAAGGTTAATCCTGACTCTGGTGTGAATATTGTAGATGGGAGTGGGGAGGTAGGCAAATAACGTCGAAGGAAGTAAGAGCTGGGAGATTCCACCACTATTCTGGAACTACACTGAACTCTTAAGATCTAATTAGAAGTGTTGCTTCCTTATATTAAAGTAATTGGCGAATTAAACAAGATCCAAATATTGGGAGAAGGCAAAGAAACTTTACAAGTATTCTAAAGGTTAATATTATATAAGTTCGGAATAAACTTAACAGTTTAACTAAGGTGAACTTTACGTGTCCTTCCTGAATTAAAAAGCTATAAAGAAAACTGAAGTTTAAAGTAATTGTTAATGAAAGCTGGCCAGCATGGCCTCCTGAAAGTATGAGCGTTTGTTGGTCCAACTTTCACAGATGTTAAACATTTGGTGATGTTACTTGGGGCTGCTTGAGCCACATTAAAGTCCAGCCACTAGAGTGTTGAAACAGTTGGGCGCTATAATAAAACACACATAAAAAGAAATTGTGAGACATTAGGTGTTGTTTGGTGATGACATTTAGGAAATTGCAGTTTTTCCATACATCGTATTCACATCTACGTAAGTTGTTTAGGTATTTAAAGTAAAAGTGGTATATATATATTGTTTGTAATTGCTACTACAGTTCTGGCAGGTGCACATAATTTAACAATATGTCAAATATGACAAATTATTGTTGAGTTACAATATAGCCTTAATAAGATCACATCTGTTCCCAATATACAGTATAGACGATGCCTGATTTAAAGAGTTTACTTACTGATATTGTATTGTTTAAATATTTAATAGGATCTTAGACACAAATCATAAAAAATACACAGTAGTGTATAAAAATGAAGAATCTTACTTGCAGTAATGCTTTTGCTGCTGTTAAATCTATTCATTCCATCAGGAAAGGTTCATGTTTTCTGTAAATTGTGTCATCTGTGCCTGCGTGTATATTGTGTATGTCTGTGCAGAGAAAGAGCTAGGAACAAAACCCAACTTATCACAGAAACTCTGACGCACTTGGGGTAAAATATGGGAACTGTTCAGCAACGTATAGAAGTCTTACAGTAGTGTGTGGGCCAGAAAGTGGAAATTACTATGCCCGTTTCAACCTCTAGGCAAATATAAGTAAGGGGAGCATACAGTTTGTTGGAACTGGCTAGAATTTGAGGAAAGCATCCTGGAACCTGAATAACCTTACTTAGCTTACTTTATTCTACTCAGAATGCTCTGGTTTAGTATTGTGTCTACAGGCAAGCTCAGAAGTGTTGGTTCTGGTGTTGCTGATCAAGATACCAAGAACAATTTAATTTTGGGAACTGGAGATATTAGCAAAGTGCTGACAAATCTACAGTTCTCTTCTCTGTTTGCTCTCTCACACACTTGCTCTGGTGCCCTTTTTGCCATTTTACTTATGAAGTCAAGCTATATAGAAATAATGCTGCGCTTTTTAACACTGTTCATCTGAAGTTATTAGCAGCTTCTAAAGATGAGCTGTTTTAAAACATCTCATGGGAGAAGACAGAGTCAGGAATGAGATGTAACCCATGGTAAAGAAAACCTAGAGAACCACTTGATAAAATGCAGTTGTTTTTAAAATGCCAGTCTATCTGGGTGTATTGGCTGTAGAGAATAATCAGGTTTCTTCATTTGCTTCTGATTGTTGTTTTTGTTCTGTTATTTTTTCTTTTTCTTACTGTTTTGAGATGAGACAAATTAGTGTTCTGTGTTAGTGCTGTGAGCCTTGTGGTCCTTGTTCCTTTCCTGGCTTCTCCCATTGCATGGTATACGCAAATGTTGCTGGAAAGGAATGTACAGGTGTGCCTCCCTTTGTGAGGGAAAAACATCTTCATTTTCATTGTGGTGGTGTTCTTTTCAGCCTTGAAGTTCAAGTCAGATCTAATGCATGTGACCGAGTTTTCTGTTATCAGCTCAAGCTTGCTGAGCTCACTTGAATGTACTTGCCTAAAATAAGTATACATTCATGCCAGGAGGCAAATTTAAGTTTATAATGAAATAGTTTCATTTGCAGTTCAACACAAGTGAAAAATGGCTGGCTTATATTTTTTTCCATGAAACTTCTATAAAGTTGTTTGGTTTTTGTTTAGTTGGTTTTTGGTTGGTTGTTTTTTTAAATTTGTTTGGTTTTTTTTTAAAAGCAGGTAAAAAATGCTTTGATATTATTTGGTGAGTTGTTAGACTGTTGCAGTAAGATCATTTGGGGCATTACTAGCTGCCAAAACCAAATGATTTTCTAGTTGCATAACTGTGAATTGTTGAAGGGCCTGAATGGCAGGAAAGATATTTCCAATAATTATTTTAAGTATTTTAGAAATTGCTAAGGGAAGAGCTGGTTGTGCTTGCTTGTGCTACTGATTTACAGCTTTTCTAATTTCTTGAGAAATGGTTGTATGTTAAAAATTCTGAAATGTGGTTGTTATTTTTTTGAAGAATATTATCACCCTTTTTTTGGTGTGTGTTGCTCCTAGGATTTTCATTGAACATAAAACTTCTTGCTTCTCTCAGGGGCATGGTAGCTCATAACTGTGTGCCCTTCATGCTTTATTATGCAATTTAGTTTTTCATGTCTTTCATTTATAAGCAGTAAAATGACTTAGGAAAAAAAATAATTCAATTAAGAGTCTAAAATCACTATTAAGATTAGAATTATAGTTAGTTGAAGTGAGTTTCCTAGTTTTGTAAAATATTAGTTATCATATTACTTGAGTAAATTTTGAATACTTAAAGGAATCTCCTCTGTTTTTCCCAAAGCTTTGTACAACTTTCAGAATTGCTAACAAAGATATATTTGTTGTTGGTAAGATACTTTGGAATCATCCCTTCAATTAGGCAGCAACCTTAGTAAAATTTTTGTGTGAGATATCAACAGATACATTCTCTAACTGTTCAACAGAATTTTTTATCAGGTAATATATCCATTTACCTGTACTTTCAGAGTTAATAACTTTGAAGATTTGATATATAAATTTAGAGCAACACTTCAGTTGTGGTTTGATTAAATATCTATTTTGTATATCAATTTATAACGTTATCAGATTACCTTTGCTGTTATAAACTCCTTTTAGGCTTCACTGGGCTAACAGGAGGAAACCTGACCTGATTCTGAAAATCATTGTATTGTAGTACTCCTAAACATAGAAAGGAGAAATTTTATCAGGAAAAGCATATTAAAATTTGCTGAAAATCTTTTATGGAAGATAAATGATAATAGGAACAGGCTCAAACACATGCCAAGTAAAATTAGCTAAAAATATAGCTGATTTGTGATTATTTTTTTTTTTAAGGGCAAGTTAATACAAGCAGTTGTTGATTCTGCCATTAATCACTGATTTAAAAGTTGAAACAACATTTCTATTTTTTTCATACTTAGTTTTCAAGCAAAACCCATCTATTTCTGGTGTTTATTAGTGTTAGATATGTTTTGTCATTTGAAAAACATTTTATATCCTACTGTGGTTGAGAATTTATAAGACATGTTAATAACTACGATCTAAGATAGTTTATTCTTCAGAAGTCAAGAAAACGTGAAACACAACTAAAACTTTACCTACCTTAATTATATTAAATTGAAGTATTTTTTAGTTTTCAGGTCTGAGTGAGACTGATATCATAAAGTATTAGTAAATAAGTCCTGTGTTCTTTAAGACATTGCAAGTGTAGTTTTAGTAGCATTGCCTAGAGATATGATGTGTTTTTTGACAGTTTATTTTTATAAGGATTGTTCTAGTAGTGATAAAGTCAATGCATTATTGATATAGAAAAATAATATAGGAAAGCAGTGTAATGGTATCCTTGTTCTTAGTTTCATGACACCTGACTGCGTGTCCTGCGTGTAGATTGAATTACTTGAAAGAACAGCAGACGTGGACGATAGAGTACAGAAAGCATGACTTTGGGAATGTGCTTTATGTTTACAAGACATGGGTGAGACTTCTAAGTTGCAGTATCCAAAGATGGAACAATACTACATTTGTTTGAATGGTCACATTGATTAGAACTCTCACAGTTATCAATCCAAAGCATTTTAAAAGTTCCTAAGACTTAAACTCATGCTTTTTAAAAAAGAACATACTTCCTCTTTTTCCTGTAAAAGTTGGATATGAGGATGAGTTCTTGTTACTCATTTCATTTCCCAACAGGTAATGGAGGCTGTATTGGAAAAGATCGTAAGCTTAAATGCTTTTTCATCTT